CTCATGAGTGAATTTCAAAGAACACGATAAATAACTTGGTTTTCTGTGTCACCGCAGCATTGAGTCACCGATTGCTGGGAGGTGTCAGGATTGTGCTTGTGTTCTGAGAAGTGGATTTGGCTCCCTTACTACTGAAGCGTTTCGATGCTGACTCATTTCTCTGGAAGACACACATACTCTTCAATAAACCCATGTTAGTATTTTACGCACTTCTCCTTCAGTAACACAATAACGCTGTCTGTCACTTGGATGTAGGGGAATACCTCTGTAAGTGCAATAATGTAATGTCTCACATAATTGTGCCTTTTCCAATCTGGGTGAAAGGACAGAGGGCTAAGCACATGGACTGGAAATCGGAAGGGAGTGCTCAGAAAACAGAGTCACACGTGCTGCAGGAGCAGGAAGTCATCCCAGAGGACACAGGCGAAGATGGCATCTCTGAAAGCTTCCAGCTTCTACAGATGGATGTGGAATGTGAGCCTCAGGAGAGGGAGACCCTGCCCACGGACAGTGCCACCTGGTGCTCGGTGAGTGCAGTGGGTGGCCATGGGCTGTGAGATGATGGAATGTCCCAGAGACCCCTATTCTATGGATAGACACTGGTAACAAGAAGACTGGGAGTGAGTTTGGTGTATTCCAAGGGTTGAATTCCCTGCTAACCAGTTTAAGGCTTCAGATCAAGAGGTATGTTTGATACACCTCAGAAGGGTCAGAAAATCCAAACTCTAAGTAACTGTTTCTAATATTCATTTTCCTTTTTGGTGCTTATGAAGTTTTCAAACAATTTTGTTTTCTGGATAACCTAAGAAAAATGTCCAAAGAAAACAGAGACACTGGGAAAATATAGTTGCGGCAAAGAAGAGCAAAAGAAAGCAAGAAAAAGAAAGAAGAAAAGCCAATCGTACAGAAAATTCAGGTAACAATCAATCAGGTTGTTGGTATAATTATATTTATTTGTTAGCAAACTGGTATCTGTATGTTCCTAGAAGAATAGTAATACTGTTTTTAAGTAAAAACAAACATCTGGGAGGTGAGACCTATAGTCCTATTTTGTTGGGAATCAAAGTATCAATGAAAATAAAATTGAAGTCTGCCTTTCAGATGTAAACTATATAGTGTACATATGTGTTTATAAGCTCAGAAGTAGAAGGAATGGTACCAACAGCTATGTACTAGGTTCAGTGCTAAGAATTTTACCTTGACTACCCTAAAGGGTAGGTCTTTTATTATCCCCATTTTGTAGGTGAAAATACTGAGGCTCAGAGAAATTAAATAACATGCTTAAGCTGATACAAGTATTAAATGAACAAACTGAACTTAGATTTAGACCCAGCAGAGTGCTCCAGAGCCCACAGTCATCACCCCTCTGCTATACCTCAACTGCCTGATGAATGAATACCTGGCACAAACTTCAAGTTTCTAGTTTCTCTTCCTGTGCAAATAGTACTCAGCTGGCTGGGGAGATTTGTTTCTTACTGAATATTATTCCTCTGTTTTCCCACTTATATATCTTTTCTGATATTTCCACTCTAGGCATCTACCCGCAGCACAGCAAACGTTTTCTGAGATCCTTAACCAAGGAGAAACTTTTGGAAGCCAAACACTCAGGACCAAGACTCTGTATCGATTTAAGTATGACCCACCACATGTCTAAGAAGGTAGAACATCCACTAGTTTCCAAATTCCTGATCAACCCTTTGCCTCTGTGTTCATAGTGTCCCCAGTCTAGTTACAGCCTTTCAGTTTCAGTTCTCCAGAGACGAAATCTTTGGCCTTCTGCTGGGGAGAGGGATATTTGCCTGGTTCTGTGTTGTGTGGAGATAACCTGGTGGCATGTCTTCCTGCAATGTATGTGTTTTAGTGATCTCCCATTCACCCTACAGGTTCTGGGGTTCTGGGGATGGCTGAACACATGGCACTCAACACTGAACAGATAAGATGGAGCGCAGTTTATTAGTCACACTAGAGGCCCAGTGCACGAAATTCATGCATGGGTGGGGTCCCTAGGCCTGGCTGGTGATCAGGGCCGATCGGAGCCAGGCCAATTGGGGCCCAAAGGCTCCAGCGGGGTCAGGAGAAGAGGCGACGGGCTAGGTGCAGAAGGAACAGACACCAACGCCCCCATTGGCGCCCCGCCACTGTGAGGTTCACACCTCTCCCCCCGTCCTTCCCTCACTTGCTGTGCTGCCACCATGGTGGGTGGTGACAGGCCAGTTGAGGGGAGGGAGGGAAGAAACCAGCCCCAAGGCCCTCCTGTGAGAGGGGCCGCGTCTGCCGCCACCACCCGCGGGAGGTTGGCTGTGGGAGTGCACTGACCACCAGGGAGCAGCTCCGGCATTGAGCGTCTTCCCCCTGGTGGTCAGTGCGCATCATAACAACCAGTCATTCCAGTCATTTCGGTCGTTCCGTTCGTTTGGTTGTAACAGTCGCTTAGGCTTTTATATATATAGATATACTCAGCCTTGGGGGAGGATGGCATTGCATGCCATGCAGGGCCACATGGGAACAGAATGAACAGCCGGGCACTGTGGGGGCAGGCTCTGTAGTATCAAGAGGGTGGGTGCCCCTGCTTCCTGCAGGAAGATGGGATTGGTTGTTGAAATAATTCTGTGGGCTCAGGGATAATCAGGAACTACACCTCGTCCCTTGGATAAAAAGGATTGGTGGCTATGGGACCTTATCCGTGGGAGCAGAGTTGGAAGAGGAACTTGCAGTTGGGCCATTCAAGGCTCACCCAATTTCATTAGATGTCAAGGCAGCAAACCTTATTGGGCCTTAATTTTAGGACTTAACCTACAAAACAAATTTTTCTATTTTCCAATACCCCTGTTGTATTAGTACTAGTGGTGGGGCAGGGGGCTGGTGGTCCCTCAGCCCGGCCTGCACCCTCTCCAATCTGGGACCCCTCAGGGGATGTCTGACTGCTGGTGGGATCGGGCCTAAACCGGAAGTCGGCCATCCCTCTCGCAATCCGGGACCGCTGGCTCCTAACCGCTCACCTGCCTGCCTGTTTAATTGCCCCTAACCACTCTGCCTGCCAGCCTGCTCACCCCAACTGCCCACCCTTGCCGGCCTGATCGCCCCCAACTGGCCCCCCCTGCCGGCCTGCTCACCCCCAACTGGCCCCCCCCTGCTGGTCTGCTCACCCCCAACTGCCCTCCCCCCCCCTGCCAACCTGATCACCCCTAACTGCCCTCCCCTCCTGGCCTGATCGCCCCTAACCGCCTCTGCCTCGGCCCCGCCACCATGGCTTTGTCTGGGAGGATGTCCAGAAGGTCTCCCAGTCTAATTAGCACATTACCCTTTTATTAGTATACATATGCTAGGGTTTGCCTGTTTTTCCGAGAAATTAGGAAAACTGAAGATTTGTAGGAATCTCTAACTACAGCCCTCTGAAAAGGTCAACCCAGGATTTTCTACTGAGATACCAGATTAAATCAAACTCAAAGCCTTTTCTCCGCTATGAACAAAAGCAGGCCAGATTGTGAGGTCTTCTGAATCAGGATGGAAAGTTAAAACTCCCAATCCTTTACATCTCCTAGAGTAAGGGAGAAGGTGCCAAGTTTGTTTGATGGAGTATAAAAATGTCTGCATAGTAATCTAACCTCTCTTTAATAAATAATAAACATCACATGGTAAGATTTTAGATAAAAGCTAAAAGAATGATTTCATATATCATATTAGATATGTAACGACAGGTCCTGAAGGAGGGGGCGGTCTCAGTTTTCCCATTAACTCACTGTTTCTTGGCTAGTATCATTACCTCAGTTGTCATCTATAAGGTGATGCCAGGGGTGTAATGCGTACTCACACATGCATGTACTCACTTCTGGAGTGAAGGGGGTCATTCTAGTTCATGAGATTTTCCAGAGTAGCACTCAGTGAACTTACTGAGTAACCATTTATTGACAATGAATTTAGAAAAAGAGGGCATGTTTCCACCCTAAGTTGTTCTTACTTTTTTGAAGGAACTAAGCAGGCTGGCTGGACAGATCCGAAGGTTGTATGGTTCGAATAAGAAAGCTGACAGGCCATTTTGGATCTGCCTCACTGGATTCACAACAGACAGTCCCCTGTATGAAGAGTGTTTGAGGATGAATGATGGCTTTTCTAGTTACCTGGTAAGCCTCATTTTGCATATTATTTGAATTGTCATCTATAAATAGGTTGTGGGGTAATTTTTTTACTTTTTCATATTTTGAGAAATTGTGTTTTCATTATTACAATCTAAAAATTTTTTTTTTAATTTAAGAACCACTTATCAGTTCTTATATTTAAATTTTTTCTTCATTCCACCATGTTGGCCAAAAGTATGTAGGACTGTATTTTGTGTCCTCTATAATGTATGTAGACTGTGTACTCCAGGGATGTTTTGGGGAAATGCCATGAGTCCTTTCTTGTTCTCGGCGATGCAGAATTAGGAAATAGTTTTGGAGGAAGAGAAAGAACCCTTATGGAAGTAATATGGATTTAAGATGAGTTTTAGGGAATACCAAGTTGCTTTTCAACTTTCAATGGGATCTCATACGTGTAGTGATTGACATACAGGCAAGAATCCAGATCAGTTCCTAAGAAATGCCACTAAACATGCCCTTGTGTAGCTGAGACTGGGCAGTGTGGCCTTTCCCAGGGAGGTCCATGGAGGCGATGAGTGTGAAGAGTGCCCCATGCAGTGCTGCACAATCAGTCATGGTTGCTGTTACTGTCTTAACAGTCCCTCCCGTAGTGCAGCCGTTTCCAGCCTTACTTTCGTCTGTACATGTTTGTTGATTCCTGCACGTGAACCAAAGAGACCCAATCTCAGGGCCATGTAATCCCTTGCCCATGCCTTTCTTGGTATGATTCCCTCCACTTTGAGTCCTTCTTCCTGTTGTGTCAGTCTCACCTCTTTTCAGAAACCCAGTTCCAGCATTCCCTTCGCTTCAAGGTTGTCTCTGGGGGTGTCCCTCCCTCATCCGTAGTCCTGAGGTATGCTCCCTGTATGTCTCTTAGGGCCCCATATACTTTCTGCCTCATTTCGTAGGGTTGCATGTCTGTGCCTTTCTACATCCCCTCCCCAGCTGAGCCCTTTCTAAGAACAGGTTGTCAGACATAGAGCCCCTTGCTGCACCGTGGGCTATGTCTTAACCTAGTTCACAGTACATTGGATTATTTGTATTTTTCAGCTAGACATAACAGAAGATGACTGCTTTAGTGTATTCCCCCTGGAAACCCTTGTGTACCTGACTCCTGACTCAGAACATGGTATGTTCTTGACTGCACAGATCATGTAGCATTGTATCGAGCCAGTTTCCCTGGTCAGCTCCCTCCATTGACCCTTTTGGATCAATTAGATATATATCATCTATTTTAGAAAATCATCTGTCACATAATTTTCAAGTTTATTGATATTAAGTTGATCTTCATATTCTCTATTTCACATTCCTTTGTAATTTTAATTTTGTCTCCTTCCTGAATCCTAATGTTGATTTGAGTCTACTACCTTTTTACCTTGATAAGATAGCCAAAGGTTTATCTATTTAATTGTTTTTTCAGAGGATTAGAAAATCTATCTTTGTTTTCTATTTCATGAAATTCCTACTTTTATCATTCTTTCCTTTTACTTTCTTTGGATTTAGAAATTATAAAGATTTGATCTCATTAGCCTTCATTTCTTCACTAGCTCTTGAAGATGTTGATCTAAACACAGTTTACATCCTCGGTGGACTTGTGGACGAAAGCATTCAGAAGGTAAGTGTACATTTTTTGGCTGAAAAACTGTATTCTGAAAAATGGTCCTTACTTGTAGAGGCACCTACCCTGTAATAATCTTACCCAAAAGGCCTAGAAACACTAAGGGAATAAGAAGAAGGAGCCCTAAATGGTTTGGCTCAGTGGATAGAGCATCGGCCTGTGGACTGAAAGGTCCCAGGTTCGATTCCGGTCAAGGGCATGTACCTTGGTTGTGGGCACATCCCCAGTAGGAGGTGTGCAGGAGGCAGCTGATAGATGTTTCTCTCTCATCGATGTTTCTAACTCTCTATCTCTCTCCCTTCCTCTCTGTAAAAAATCAGTAAAATATATTTTTTTTAAAAAAGAAGAAGGAGCCTATTCTGCCTGAGTTGGCCCTCCCTCGTATGAAATTCACTCTCTCCTCCTCAGCAATGTCAGCAGTGCTTTCCTGACAGAACCCAGGATGGGAATGTTTGGTAATTACATCAGTAGCCAATGTGGAACTCCTCTCTTCATTTCTGTAAGAATAGCTCTGATCTTGACCAAGGAAGTATTGCCTCAGTATTCTTACTAGCTGTATGTTCTTGGTGAAAGAGTAGTTTGCTCCTTCTTAGCCCATCTTCCCTGCTGACATAAGTCTAAGCTCAACCTCAATAGTACTTGTCCAGATTTCTTTTGTTGAATTGGAATTGTATTGGCATAATTGGAGTTTTTCAATGTGTTTCTAGTATATAAATATTTTTTGATAATTTTGTTTATTTTTCTAATTAGCATTGCATAGATAATAATGATGTAATAGTTAAAATGTATAAAAAGGAGAATAAGTCTCCCTCCAATCCTTGTCCCCCAGTGTCCCCATTTGAGAAAACCAGTTTTCTTGTGTATCCCTTGATAGTCTATGATCACACAAGTATCTGTTTGATATCTGCATATATATATATATATATGTTTTTCACATGAGCATATTTTATATATTTTTTCATATATGTATAAGATGCATACATATTTAACAAGATGATATTTAACTGAATTGTATTTATTCTAAAATAGTCATTGTTCTCTGACTTCATAGTGATAATCTAAAAAAATGGCAGGGGGCCCTAACCGGTTTGGCTCAGTGGATAGAGCGTCAGCCTGCGGACTCAAGGGTCCCAGGTTCGATTCCGGTCAAGGGCATGTACCTTGGTTGCAGGCACATCCCCAGTGGGGAGTGTGCAGGAGGCAGCTGATCGATGTTTCTCTCTCATCGATGTTTCTAACTCTCTATCCCTCTCCCTTCCTATCTGTAAAAAATCAATAAAATATATTTTTTTTAAAAAATGGCAGGGGGACTCTTAAGAATGCCAGCTAAGAATGAGAAATGCCTAGAATTCAGAAATCAGTATTTTGTCACTGCTAGGGCAATCGTTGATTCAGGGATTGATTGAATGAAAGGTTGGGGGAAACTGACTACTCACATGGTCTCAAAGTATCACCCCACAAATTGCAATGTACCATTGCAATGAAATGACATGGAGGTCACCATCTTAACCAAGTGATCAAAATTAGAATCACCAATAGTGACATTCGGTACCTCCTGATAAGATGGAATCTCACCTGAAAAGTATTCCTACTAGAAAATGTTTAAATTTAATTTAATTGTGAGGAAACAGATCTAGAATGTGAGACATTATGCAAGAGAACTGGGCCAGACTTTCAAAAAAGCCAGTGTAATAATAAAAACTAAAATAGTTGGAGTGGGGGGGGGGGCTGTTTTAGTTTAAAGGAGATTAAAAGACAACAGTTAAATGCTGTCTCCCACAGCAGAGTGACAGCCCCTTTTTGGAGGCAGCAAAGTCTAAGGATCAGTGAGTATGAGCTATAGATGTAGTTTTGACACAGCATCTTACCTTCTCTCTCCACCAACATTTAAACTGAAAAATAAGTGGCACAGAGATTTGTCAGATGAACGGAACTTTTTGGTTGTTACTGGAATTTGGCTTCTTAGAAAAATGCTAAGAAAAATGTCTCTTCAAGAGGAGTCATTTTATCTTTAATGTTCAGAGAACAAACACTAGACAGTAGTCTCCTCCAGGGCAGCGTCCAAGTCTCCTACTAACTTTTAATTCTATACTCTAGTTCAAAGTGGTTAAAAAGGAATAGACTTTCAAAAAAAAGGCAATCATAGCTCATATATGCAAGGAGTGTTGTCCTTCAAAGAAGTCCTTTGAATAGCTGTACCCTTATTCCATCCGAATCACATTACTTAAAACATTTTTGGAAGTTCTCTATTGGAACTGTGTCTCATGTGAGTCTGAGAGGCGTGTAGTCCAGGTATGAGAAAAAGAAGGTGCTAGGCCTGCTTCATGCTGTTCCAGGTGGTTAGACCATACTTAGGTGCCCAGTCAATTATGGGACCGTCAATGAAAGGACATTAATAAGCTAACACAAGTTCAGGAGAGGTTGACCTGAATGACGAAGGGACTCAAAACTAAGTCATAGTCAAAGAAGTTGACAGAACTGAGACTATGAGTCTGGAGACTAGAGGATTCATAGTGGCATGATCCTACTTGAAGTATCTGAATGACTATCTTGTGGAAGGGCCATTTTACTTGCTTGCTGTGGCCCTGGGAGGGTAGAACTAGACAAATGAGTGGAAGTCTCAGAAAAAAACAACAGAAAACTGGCTTAATATCAAGAATTTCCTGCCCTAGCTGATTTTGCTCAGTGGTTGGCTTGCAGACTGAAGGGTCATGGGTTCGATTCCAGTCAAAGGCACATACCTTGGTTGCAGACTCGATCTCCGGTCCTGATCCGGTTGGGGCATGTGCAAGTGGCAACCAATCAATGTGGTTGGAGGGGAATAGTTAACTCTTGAGGTCCCTTCCAGACGAGTATGTTAATTATCCCAGTAATCTAAATCTTTCCCTTGAACCCTGGAATTGCAAAAAGGTACCTTTCCAGCTTCTTATAAGGTAGCAAATATAAACTTCAGTTCATGGTTCAGGGACATTTTTTTTATATACACCTTTTTGTTTTTTAAAATGTACTTTTATTTCAGAGAGGTAGGGAGAGGGAGGGAGGGATAGAAACATCAATGATGAGAGAGAATCATTGATTGGCTGCCTCCTGCACGCCCCACACTGGGGATCAAGCCCGCAATCTGGGCATGTCCCCTTGACCGGAATCAAACCAGGGACCCTTCAGTCCACAGGCCAATGTTCTTTTTTTTTTTTTTTTTTTAATATATTTTTATTGATTTTAGAAAGGAAGGGAGAGGGATAGAGAAATAGAAACATCAATGATGGGAGAGAATCATTGATCAGCTGCCTCCTGCACGCCCCCCACTGGGGATCGAGCCTGCAACCCAGGCATGTGCCCTTGGCTGGAGTCGAACCTGGGACCCTTCAGTCCGCAGGCCGACGCTCTATCCACTGAGCCAAACCAGCTAGGGCCACAGGCCAATGTTCTATCCACTGAGTCAAACTGGCTAGGGAAGGGACATTTTTAAAGGGACATTAATAGCGAGCCGGGTGTAGCTCAGTGGTAGAGCGTCGACCTAGGAACCAAGAGGTCACTGGTTCGATTCCCGGTCAGGGCATATGCCCAGGTTGTGGGCTTGATCCCCAGTGTGGGGCGTGCAGGAGGCAGCCAATCAATGATTCTCTCTCATCATTGATGTTTCTCTCTCTCCCTTCCTCTCTGAAAATATATCCCTTCCTCAATAAAAATATATCTAAAAAAAAATAAAAATAAAGGGACATTAATAATTTTTCTCTAAATGAGACCCAACATGGCTTCAGATTATTGGACTTCTTGAGTTCTTTTGACTCCTTTTTTGCAGTTTTCAGAGCCCTTCTTCCTCAGTAGCAGCAGGAGAGCATTAGCTCTCCCACCTAATGCTCTCTTGCAGCTACTGGTGTACCTGACCTGAATCCTGTCTCCCTTCTCTCTAATTTGCTGCTACCAATTGGCTATGAGCTGAAAACTCGATATCCAGATTGGGACTTACTGAGTTAGGGCCAGGCATGCTCTCCTCTGATTGATTAGACTGCTTGAAGTTTTGACCGTAGATATGCCTTTTCTAACTTATTTCCTTCCTGGTTGTAAGTAGTAGTGAGTGGAAGACAGTGGATAAATGACTCCCAAATAGGTGAGGTGTTGCTGCACAAGCCATTCCTTACTTGGGACAAATAAATACTCTTCATTATCTGCAGAACTTTTTTTTCTTAATATATTTATTGATTTCAGAGAGGGAGAGGGGGAGAGAGAGAGAAACATCAATGATAAGAATCATTGATTGGCTGCCTCCTGCACGCCCCCTACTGGGGATTGAGCCCGAAACCCAGGCATGTGCCTTGGCCGGAATCGAATCTGAAACCCTTCAGTCTGCAGGCCAACACTCTATCCACTGAGCCAAACCAGCTAGGGCTATCTGCAGAACTCTTAATTATCTGCAGGTTACTTTTCTTTTTTCACTTTTTAAAATTGAATTTATTGGGGTGACATGGTTAATAACAGGCTACTTCTTTTTAATACATTTATCATTAATTATAATTATAGATGAAATTAGAATGATAAATGGGGATTCTCATAATTTGCTATGCATGAAAATATTTTCATGTATTATTTTTAAAAGAAAAATATTTAACTGTTATTTACAGAAGGTGACATTTCAAAAGGCCCGAGAACACTCTGTCAAGACAGCCCGCTTGCCAATCCAGGAATACATGGTCAGACGCCAGAATGAGAAAAACTATCATTCAGAGATATTGGCCATCAATCAAGGTACAGCTCACACGGCCCACGCTTAATGTGTTAATTCTGGTGCTTCTTTGCATCATGCCTAAGTATGAATGGCCTTGACGCAGCTTACCCCCATGACTGATGTGCTTGTACTTTATTGCATGCACTTTGTGACATGTATTCTGGCTTCTCAAAGCTATTTTTCATTTTCTTCCTAATTCCGATCTATGTTAAATAGTTTAAATTGTTGCCTTGACCTAGAACGCCCTGCCTTTAACCCATCATTGACAGTGAATTCAGGATTCAGTTCATAGGCACTTTGGCTGCTCCTCTCCCTGTCCCAGGCCACATCGGGACCCTTCCTTTGTGTTCCCATTGTATTGTGTTCCTCTCTGTTGCAGCATTGTCCATTTACACGCCTACATCTCTCAGTGTAGGCAGTGCTTGTGGGCAAGCAGGGCCTGTAGCTTTGCCTCTGTCTCCCCAGGATCTAATACCAGGTGTGGTACAGAGTAGGTTTGTTGAATATTCAAGTACACCCTTTTCATTAGTCATTTACTAGTTCTTTTTTTCCAGTGTGTGGTCACTGTGTTTTCTGTTTACCCTTCTAACAGTATTTGATATCCTGTCCACTTACTTTGAGACTCAAAACTGGCCTGAAGCATTGAAGAAAGGAGTTTCTTCCAGAAAAGGCTATATTCTTCAGAACTCAGTGGAATGATGGACAGCCTAAGAGTGCACCTGCAGGAGGTGAAGTTGCTGGAGGGGCCTTGACCAAAGAGGAGAGCAAAGTGGTGATGGCACACACTTGCCTTTACTTGACATCTCGGATCTTCATTAGGATGTTATTAATAACAGGGACCACATTTTATGCTCTTTTGTGTCTCCTATAGTGCCTAGCTCACAGGAAGTGCCCTGTTTATCTTGACTAAGTAAAAAGTTTACATAACAAGGAATTAGCCCTTAAACTACATGGCTTTGGGTGTGTTAATTTATTTTTCTACATCTACTTGTGAAAAATCTACTCTTTAGAGGTAGCTTAAATAATTATTGTGATATCAAGAATTTAATTTTCACTAAAGTGGCATCATAAAGTTGTATGACTTTGTCCAACCTGCTCTGATCATGCTGATTATCCCTAACTCAGTAATGTGCTATACATGTGCTTTTCAGGATCAGCCTGTCCTAACCTAGCCCTCTTTAAGCCCCCATAGCAATTTTCCCCACCTGTAGCTCCTACCTTGTTTTCCCTGTGCCAAGTATGGGTGTGGAAGGCTTCTCTCTTCCTAACTATAGCCTTCCTACGGGACAATTTGTGGGAGTATTTTTGTATCCTTCTGAGCCTTGTACAAACTAGATTTTGCACATATATCTGAATTATCAGTTCAAATTGAAAAGCAAAAACATAGTACTGGTAAGTCTAACTTGAAAATAGCCCTAACCGGTTTGGCTCAGTGGATAGAGCGTCGGCCTGTGGACTGAAGGGTCCCAGGTTCAATTCTGGTTAAGGGCATGTACCTTGGTTGTGGGCACATCCCCAGTAGGGGGGTGTGCAGGAGGCAGCTGATCGATGTTTCTCTCTCATCGATGTTTCTAACTCTCTATCTCTCTCCCTTCCTCTCTGTAAAAAATCAATAAAATATATTTTTTTAAAAAAGAAAAACACATTGCATCTCACACAAGCATGTTAGAGAACCTCTTATGATGCAAATCTCAGTGATCCCTTTTCTCATGTCCTACTTAGATACAGTTGCTTCAGTTACTATGGCCAGTTTATGTCGGTCAACTTATTTCTAAACTGCTAGCAAATTGAAAAAAATGTAACCTGTATTTCAAAAGAACCAAAAGGTTACCTCTGGGTTCTATCTCCTTCCTTTCACAATTTAATCCCCCAGGAACTATGAACTTGATTACTTAAGAGCAGCCTAGTCTTTAGGAAACATCTTTAGGAATACAGTGGGGCCTTGACTTACGAGTTTAATTCGTTCTGAGACCAAGCTCGTTAAGGAGCTCATTACCTCAAATTACTCTATCAACTCAATGCAAAAAATCGGCCGAGAGACAGCTGGTATCTCAAAAAACTCGTTAGTCGGGACACTCATAAGTCAAGGCCCCACTGTACATAATGTTCCTTGGTCTTTATCAACATAGTTCTATAACCTATGCCTCCAAAAGGGAGGACCTCTATGAATAGGCCTCAGAGGTCTGTAACTCTTACCATATTCTCAGGGAGGTCTCTAACCCAAGAACCATTGACCTGGATCAGCTGCCAGGCTTCATTTTGGCCTCAAAAGGCTTTGCTTAAAATTCCAAATAACATAGAATTTCCTCTTCAACTCTATCACAAACATCTACAATTTCTTCAAAACCTAGGTAGGTAGTTTTTTGTTTGGCTTCTAGGAAATGACCCTTGGCAAAGTAAGACTTGGATGAACTTATATTCAGAGATCCTCATCATAGTGTTTTTTATAACAACAAAAAGCTGGACATATCCAAAATATCCTATACCACAAAAATGAAGCATTATACAACTATGGAATTTTTAATAGCAATCATGAAAGAAATATATTTAAATGTTTGAAGTGGACAAAGTATATTACAGACTAGTATATAAAATATAATTCTATAATTCCATTTTGAAAAACATATATTCACATTAGTGGTTGAGAATGTTGGCCAAGTTAAGCCTCAGTTTCTTGCACTAGGAAGTTGCCTTTTGCAGTTACTAAGAATAAATGAGTCAATCCAAACAAAGCACTTGGAACAATACTTGATTTGTAAATATATGATAATTGTTAGCTGTTACATACTCACCACTACATAATAGGATTTCAAGTGATTTTTGTTCGCTGCTTCATACTTTTTATGTATTCTACATTTTCTTTGATGAACATGTTTTACTATTATCAGAAAATAAGTGTTATTTCAATGGTTACTTCCAGGAAAACTAAGGAAATTAACACCAAGTAAATCATAATACTTTTAGTAAACTTTATTATAAAAGAAAAAATAGTACTATTTTATGACTTTTTTCACCCACAAGAACATGAGTGGCAACCAGTGACTTGTTTATAAAAATATTTTAAGACTCACATAAGACAGTATCTTATCTTCTGAAGATTAATGGGGAGAG